TCTAGTTACCCCTTCCACACTCCCAGCTTGCTCCCCGATCCAGCACCAGCAGTCGTCTTTGTCAGTATGACAGTTATGTCATTCTGCTCATTTCCTATGAGCCCAGCCTTTCATTTACACTCCCTCTAGGGGGCGCCATCGTCACACAGATGGAGCGCGCAGTACTTCAGTCCTAACTTTTGTTTTACGTTTTGAGGCAGATTTGACAGGTTGGCAGTTTTAAAGGCTGGGAATGTCAATAGGGAGAACAGGTAGTGAGGGAAAATCTCCCCCACTAGGTATTTGATGGATGCCACATGGAGCACAAATGAGGGGGTAATCTCTCCCATGGGTAATTATGGAATGCCAGATGGAACAAGAAGTGAAGAAAAATCTCCCCATTAGGCATTTGATGGATGTGAGACAGAACAGAAAGAGAGGGGAAACCTCTTCACCAGGTATTTATTTGAGGCAAAGGAGGAAGTGAGGGTAATTCTCCCCACTAGGTATTTGATAGATGTCAGACGGAACAGGAAGTGAGAAGAAATCTCCTCACCAGGTATTTATTGAGACAGAAAAGGAAGTGAGAGTAAATTTCCCCCTACTAGGTATTTGATGGCTGTCAGGCAGAACAGGAAGTGAAGGAAATCTCCTTACTTCCTGTCTATTTCATGGCCTGACCTGGTTTAGCAAAAATGTTTTCTAAGAGGAAGCGAGAATTCCTGATGCGTATTTATCCCAGACGTGTACAGTTTAATATCTTGAACTTTTCTTTCTAAAATGTATCAGGCGACATAAAATGTTTCCAGCATTGAGCTTCCACCCCAACCAGGGGGGCAACTACAGATCATGGGGCCCTATAGCAAAATGTTGATGCCCCCCCCCCCGGGGAGCTGCCGGTATGTTACTGGGGAGCAGGGTCAGGAACTAACTTTTGTTTTACGTTTTGAGGCAGATTTGACAGGTTGGCAGTTTTAAAGGCTGGGAATGTCAATAGGGAGAACAGGTAGTGAGGGAAAATCTCCCCCACTAGGTATTTGATGGATGCCACATGGAGCACAAATGAGGGGGTAATCTCTCCCATGGGTAATTATGGAATGCCAGATGGAACAAGAAGTGAAGAAAAATCTCCCCATTAGGCATTTGATGGATGTGAGACAGAACAGAAAGAGAGGGGAAACCTCTTCACCAGGTATTTATTTGAGGCAAAGGAGGAAGTGAGGGTAATTCTCCCCACTAGGTATTTGATAGATGTCAGACGGAACAGGAAGTGAGAAGAAATCTCCTCACCAGGTATTTATTGAGACAGAAAAGGAAGTGAGAGTAAATTTCCCCCTACTAGGTATTTGATGGCTGTCAGGCAGAACAGGAAGTGAAGGAAATCTCCTTACTTCCTGTCTATTTCATGGCCTGACCTGGTTTAGCAAAAATGTTTTCTAAGAGGAAGCGAGAATTCCTGATGCGTATTTATCCCAGACGTGTACAGTTTAATATCTTGAACTTTTCTTTCTAAAATGTATCAGGCGACATAAAATGTTTCCAGCATTGAGCTTCCACCCCAACCAGGGGGGCAACTACAGATCATGGGCCCCTATAGCAAAATGTTGATGCCCCCCCCCCGGAGAGCTGCCGGTATGTTACTGGGGAGCAGGGTCAGCATCAACAGCAACCTCTGCAACCCTTAAGGATACAGTGATGGATGTGTGTTATCTTCACATGCATACAGATTTTCTATGTTTAAAATGCCTCAACAACCCCCCTAATGGGACCCCTTCCTCCCCTCGGGCCCCATAGTAGACACGTGGGCTGCTATGGCTATTGTTACCCCACTGATCCCGACTAATATTCTACATCCAACAGAGGGAAAACATCCCCGGAATGCTATGGAAACGTGTTCCATGATTTACTCCGGATACCTCTCCTAGTATACCATGTTAGTCTGATTTACCTGTAGGTGATCGTTCTGTAGACACAGATCCCGGCTGCTCTGAATAGAGGATGACGTCACATAGAGGAGAGCAGGAAGAAGCAGAGGGAAGAGGAGGGGGAGAGGAGAACAATGTCACCACAGCGATTACTTTCACTTTCAGAACATTCCACGTTCTGATCACACAGGAACTCCGTCCCTCATAGTATCATAGAGCTGGTATAGTATACGCCATGGGAAAGCACCGGGCCCCCAGTGCTCCTCTGTATATCTCAGCTCTCGGCCTCTGTACAATGTTTCCTATTTATTTCTTGAAGACGAAGTGTGATGTTTTCAACTTGGCCAATCTCGTCCCACCGTGTAGAGGGGCTATCACGTATCTGGTGAGAGACCGACAGCTGAGGGGGCTTCTCTTGCTTCTCACATCCTATACCCCCTGGAGATGGGAAAAGGGTGTAAAAGGACGGCCAATAGCGTGAGCGCCACTGGTGGGATCAGGCACTTGTGCAGGAAAAGTCCAGGAGCGGATAAGCCAAATCAGGAAAAAGGAGCGTAGTCATGGATAGCCAGGGATCAGGACCAGCCGGGCGGCGAAGGTACAGAATCGGTAGGCAACAAGCAAGTCCAGGAAACAGGCCGAGGTCAGGGGCAGGCAGCAAGCAAGAACAGTCCAACAATCCGAGTCAAGAAGGCAGAGGCAGTACAGTACATGTTCAACAGAGCAACGAGCACAGGAACACACAACTGAAAGACCATCAGCACAGTGACAAGGGCAGGCTTGTTTAAATAGACCAACTCATCAAGGTCTTGAGCATCACTTCCCGTGGACTGGACGTTTGCACGCCTTTGAGCGTGTTTCCAGTTGTGCGCGCGCGATAGCGTGTTTTTGCGCAGGAGTTTGCGCGCATGCGTGGCTATCGTCTTTACCTAATAGGAGCTCCGCTGTGTCAATCAGTGATGGACAAGGATCTGCGCATGTGCATGGCTGTCAGGAAGGTCAAGTACGCAGCCATGTCTCGAGATCTGCGCATCTGTCCGGAAGGTCAAGTACGCAGCTATGTCTGGAGATCTGCGCATGTGCGTGGCTGTGAGGAAGGTCAAGCACACA